AATTCGAACAATTCGAACAATTCGAACAATTCGAACAATTCGAACAATTCGAACAATTCGAAGAATATTTCGAACAATTCGAATTCGAACAATTCGAACAATTCGAACAATTCGAACAATTTCGAACAATTTCGAACCGAACACGAACAGACCATTCACGAACAATTTCGAACACGAACAGACCATAGACCATTCACGAACAATTTCGAACACGAGCCTATTTCAAACAAACTATTTCACAAACGAACCGAACACGAACACGACCGCTGTTCGTTCGTGTTCGGTTCGTTTACACCCCTACCTCCAAGACATTCTGGGTTGTGTAGACTTTTAGCTGCACTGAACACGAGCTCTAAGAACGTATATGTAATGTAGAAAAGAGAAATTTGCATACATACCACACAATTATTATGTATTTAAATAACAAGGCCTTAATGTTTGATATCTACACTTAGAACAAGATGGTGTCATAAACCTATGAATGAAAAAATGTACTTTTTTAACGTATAAATAATGGCGGTATCTTTGATGTGATAGTAAAGTTTTGAGCGTTATAAATGTAAATATAAAAGTATGGTGTTTACATGTACATACATGAGATTTGGGTGGTATGACAGATAGATGACTGCACCGTAGGAACGGAGTAGCCTCCAGTGCACAGGGCAAACAGAACAAGAGGCTGAGACGTGAAAAGAGTGCAGTTTGGGCTGATAATCTGTTTCTCTTCTGCAGATTTCTTCCTCATGGCAGTTCGAGAATATGGCTTCAAACCACTGAAGGTGAACACACAAATTATGTTAAAGATAGCAGCAATTTTTACTGAAATTAATAATGCATGGTGCCATCCTATATGGTCCCTTATGAATTTGTAATGCTGCCCCTGTATCAAATTATGTGGCCTTATGGAACTACTTTTTTTTCAAGGTAAGGGAGAGAGTTTTGAAATTGAGGGGAGAAAGAGAGGACTTGTGAAAGGAAATAAGCCAAATTTTAAGGTAAGGAATTATGTAATTGATTTATGTGTCACTTTAATTATGTACCATTAAATATATGTATGTCTTCTAATCATATGCACAGTTAATTAACATAGGTGTTTGTCAAAGAAGTGAAGAGAGGGAAGAGGTCTTTTAAGTAGGTGGGTAATTATTTTTTAATATATATTAAATTAATATTTACTTTATAAAAAAAATTTGTAATGATTTAAATAGTCATTTTATAATTATATGCATTTTGTGAGCTTGAAAATTTAAGAAAATGAAATGACAAAAAAAAAAGAATGTTAAATGTTTTTAAAAGGAGGCCAATTAGAGGAAAAGTAAAATTTAAGCACAAGATTACTTGCAAATGGTACTGACAAAAAAATGTGATATACTCGTGCACCTCAAAAAAATAATAAATGTGTACCTTCGGGTGCAATTTTGAGGGTACTTCCAGGTTTTGTAAGGTACCTTCGATGGAAGTGTCAAAATTGACCCCAACAAGTCAACACGAATCGAACTCGACTTGAACAATCATGGTTAGGATTTACTTGAAAATTTTTTGAGTTGGGTTCGGTTCAGAGAATTCGGTCCATTTATTATTTGGGTCAGGTTTGAATTGGGTTGAACCCGACCCAAAACATGACCCGAATAAGCATGAAAGTATGGGTCGAGTCTGGATTAGCAGGTCAAGCTCAGGTTCGGGTCGAGTTCAGTTCTTATTTTTGGACCCGTTTATTATTCGGGTCGGGTTCGAGTTGACCTTATGTAGGGCAGAACATTTTCGGGTTGGACACGAACCCAACCAACTGACCCGAATTGACACCCCTAACCTTCAGGTATATTTTTTAGGATACATTTGAGTATAATGGTAATCTTATTATGAATTTTAAGAAGGTTAAGAAAATAAAGACTTGAGCTAAAATAGGAAGAATAAATTTAAATTGAAAGCTTAAGGTTTTATAAGCTAATGAATCACATTTTTTTTCTTGGCATTCATGTAAGCATTGACATAATAATTTAATGCATATTAAAGCTCCGTTTGGGGCCGTTTTTTACAACTTCGTGGCACCTCCCGGCAGAACGAAGCTAAAGCGAGGGTCGCGGGGTGGCCCGCTATCCACCCCGCGGCCCCAGCTTTCACATCAAATAATTTTTTTGGCCTCGGCGCAAAGAAGCCCCCGTCCCGCCTATTCCCGCGCCTCGTCATCGCGTCTCATCGAACACGTTCATCTTCCTCGACTAGGACCGAACCCTCGGCGCAAAGAAACCCTCTCCGCGCTTGTTCTTCTTCCTCGGTCAGGACCGAATCCTCAGTGCAAGGAAACCCTCTCCACGCGCATTTTTCTTTCTCGACCAGGACCGAATCCAGGAAGCCTACTCCCGTGCCTTACCATCTCGCCTCGCCTGGTGTCGCCGCGCACGTTCTTCTTTCTCGACCAGGACCGAATCCAGGAAGCACGAGGCAGGTAATCCCATCTTCTTCCCTTATTTTCGAGCTCTCTTCCCCGCTAAGAAGAGTTTTGAAATTAATTTTGGCGAGTTGAGAAGTTTCTTCTTCCACAACAGTGTAAACTTTTTTGTTTTTTTGTTTTATAAAAGTGTCCTGCGATTATTTGAGACGTGGATCATTTGTTTCGTTGATGTTGATAGAATGGAGGGTTTGTGGTCTCTTTTAGAGCAGATCTTGCAAGAGTTCTATCATGGGGAGGTTAGCTTGCTAGAGTTTCTCATTTTTTCGATTTTTACTATACAACAAATGCTTGTTGCCTCCCAATTCCTATGTATTTACTTATCTAACACCTAAACTTTACTTTTTTCTACTTTCTAATTGATTTTTTTTTTTCTATTTTCTAATTGATTTTACTGTTGTGTTTCATGACTTTGTTTTGTTATAGTAATGACATGGATAGTATGCCTAAAGAGGTTACTACACCCGTATTGTGGAAAAAAGATACGAAAATAATATTTTGCGATATTTTTCTTAAAGAAATTAAATGAGAAAATAGGCCTACAACCCATTTCAATAAAGAAGGGTCGCAAAATATTATCAAAAATTTCAAGGAATGTACAGGTACAGAATACAACAGGTTGCAAATGAAGAATAAGTTAGACCAAATGAAGAAGGAATGGAAAATTTGGAAGGAATTGAAAAGGGGTTCTACCAGTTTTGGTTGGGATCCAATGAAACAAACAGTTGATGCACCTGAGGAATGGTGGGCTGAAAGACTTGCGGTGAGCATTGTTTGTAAACTTCTTTATTTTATAACTCTATATTTTATTCTAATTGGGTTTTTATCAAATTTTGTGAAGGTTGTGTCTGCTGCAAAAAAGTTTAAGCTTTCTGGAATTGAGCCTGAATTGGAGGAGAAACTCGGCCGCATGTTTGGGGGAGTGGTTGCAACGGGTAACTATGCATGTAGCCCATGCAAGGCAGGGTTTACTGGCAATGCCATGAATTTGGGAACCCTTGGAGGTTCAGTTGATTTCACTGATGTCCCCAGCCCATATCAGAACAAATATGAAATCATTTTACGTTCCAAACGTCCAAGGGTTGTTGATAAAAGAAAATCTGGTGTTTCTTCCCTCAGAAACGAGCTATCTGAGGTAGTTTTTTATTTCAAAGCAGAATGTCAGAATTCTTATTCAAGCACTATCGCGGAGACACTTGAAATCCTAAGTGCTACAGCTGAAATTTATGCAGATAAAGAGTTGTATTTGTTCACAGCAGAATTGCTAGAGGACCCGATCCGTAGGGATTTCTTTGTGAAGATGTTTGCTGCCTGCAGAGTGGCATATATTCGACGTTTTTATGATGGTTTGAACAATTCAGATGTTTTATATTTTTTATCATTAGAATATTTACACTGCATTATCTATTTTTTTTCTTTCTAGAGTTGTACTTGTGAACTCCGTTGTACCTTCCTTATTATTTGCAAACATTTCTTTTTTGTATTGTCTCAAACTCTGATATAAATGATAATTATTTAGGAGAAACATTTAGGGATACCCTTCACTATGGATGCAAATAGAAGAAGACGGATGGAGGCCCACATGGATACACGCAGAAGAAAGTGGAGAGGGATGTTTCTGACGGCAATATGTTTGATGTACGAGTACTATAACGCGTATATTGATTGGTCGCCATGCATAACATCTTCTTATATTGGCGACAAATGGGTTGGAAAGTTGTTTGCGGGGCACCCATCACGATTTTCTAATATGCTTTGAATGATTCAGGCAATATTTATCAATCTTCTGGAATTACTCGTAGGATCTCACGGTCTTCATGGATCTTTGAGGACCAATCCACGTGAGGTGCTCACAATAACATTGTTCATATTATCCCAAAATGAGACTATGCGATGAGTGATGGAGCGATTTCAACACTCATCAGAAAAAATAAGCAGATACTTCTTAATCGGATTGAGGGCACTTGTTAGTTTGTCCTCTCATGTCATCAGACCCTCAGATTATAAGTTTAAGCAGATACCCACTAAGATATCACATGATGCGCGATATATGTCATTTTTCAAGGTATTCTCTCGGATGCATTATAGTTAATTTTGTAAGTGTATGCAATGATATGTCAAACCTAACATTTACTCATCAGAACTGCATTGGTGTGATTGATGGAACACATGTTGACGCACGTATCCCAAATAGTGATAAGGTGCATTTATCGATCGTTGTGGTAGCCCTACCCAAAATGTCATGGTCATCTGCGACTTTAACATGTGTTTTACTTTTGTTATTGTTGGTTGGGAGGGCAGCACACATGACAGTCGAGTTTTTAAATCTGCGACATGGGATCACAATAGAAACTTTCCACATCCACCTGCAGGTACGCTCGGGATTGAACTAATTGAATGAAGAACTTGAATCTTCTTACTAATTGTTCAATTTATTAGACAAATATTACTTGGTCGATGTTGGTTACTCATTGCAACGAGGGTATTTAAAGTCATTTCCTGATACGAGATATCACATACAAGACTTCGCACGTGCAAACAACATTACATGAGGCGGAAAGAAAATATTTAATAAACGACATTCATCGCTACGTGGTGTAATTGAGAGGATTTTTGGTGTCTGGAAAAAGAAATTGGTGATACTCCGTGATATGACTCCCTAGAATTTATTCAAGCATGTACAAATTGTCTTTGTTATAATGTCTCTCCATAATTATATAAGAACACATCATTCCCGTAGCAATATCGACTTCCATTTGGCGGAAGAGGATGAAGAAAATGTGTCTGCAGAATCCTTTGAATATCGTCTAGGTCACTCTTTCACAGAATAAGAGATTGAGGCTTCCACCCCCTTCAGTGTAGATGGGGAAAGTGCAAGAGAGATGACAGAGCTGAGGGAACGAATAACTAATGAGATAGTAGACCTGTGAATAAAGAATTTGAGAATTTATTAGCTGAATATTATTCAAAATATTGCTACTCTGATTTTTTTTTAACTTCATATTTATCTATTTTGTTATTTTCTTTTGTTTAGTTTGATACCTGAGAACTATTGAAAACCCTTGAACTATTGTTGTATTTATGAGTTTTGTGGATATTGCCAAAGAAGATACTTATGATTCATTAGTATTTGAATATTGGACTTATGTGCATCCTTTCACTTTACATAAAAAAATGATGTCTAACAATTTTCGCGTGCTTTTGTTTATTTGAGAATGGTTATAGAATTGGGGTGTTGGAACATATGAGCGAGTTACACAAATTAAAAATACATTTTCTGAAAAATGTGAAGGATGCTAGAGAGGCTTGCACTGCAAAATTATTTGAGAATGGTTATAGAATTGGGGAGTTCGAACATATGAGCCAGTTGCACAAATTAAAAATACATTTTCTGAAAAATGTGAAGGATGCTAAAGAGGCTTGCACTGCAGAATTAATTGAGAAGACAAAACTCGCAGATTTATTATTGAATTGGGGGAAAACCGTTAATGAATGGAAATCAGATAAGGGAGTTGGAAGCCGACGGAACATTGTTAATTCTGACTTGGATGTGAATGTTGTTGTACCTTTGTAACATGCCACCTCAAGTTGTTGTACCTTTGTAACATGCCAAAAGCAAAGCTTTGCAACTTTGGTCATGCCACCTCAAGTTGTTGTACCTTTGTAACATGCCAAAAGCAAAGCTTTGCAACTTTGGTGTTTAATGTATTAATTGCTGCAACTTTGGTGGGATGGAAGGAGCGCAGCTTTCTCTGATTAGTTGTGTTGAGCTCTCTATTAATCTGTACTGAAACTTCATGCTTTTTGTTGTGTTATTGAGATTTTGATTAGCTGTCTATTTGTCTTTAATGAAACTCTATCTTTGTTATGGTGTCATGGGTTTTACTAATGCTAATCCTCATCAACTTCCTCTTTGTTGCGGTGTTATGGGTTATATATGAATCGAGTGGTATGTATGTAAATCTTTCAATGATTAATGCATGTTTACATGGCTCATGAGATAGGTAATTTATAATAATTATATATGTTTGAGATGGGGATATAAATGCCTCTTCGTTCTGCATATTTTATATAATATGCCTCCAGAAGCTAATTTGGGATTTTGTGTTTGTGCTATTCGATTTATGATATTTTGTTTATGTTTATGCTTGTTTCAGTGAATTCTGGTTCTTCAACGATTTGGTTAGAAAAACGAAGCTAAGCTGAGAATCCATGGGAGGAGCTCAATAATTTTGGACGAATGTGTAAAGTTGAAAGTTGCAGATTTTTCCTGATTTTATCATGTGTCTACATGTGCAACACCTGGATTTGATTATATATGTGCTGATTTTCTAATTTCCAATATTTGTGTGCTGATTTTCTGATTTTAATTTATATTTACATAGATACTACCTTACATATGCATGGAATTGTGTATTTTATTTTTTTTCTTAAGTTGAGTGGTGTTTTTTTGTTGATGTGCTATGAAAAATTTGGGTGTTATAAATGTAAAAGTTAAAATCTAGGTCTTAAATCTGTTAATACATGAGAGTTGGGTGGTATGTGTGCAAATGCTTGGTTATTAACTGCTTATAAGGTGTTAAACTTGTGCTGCTGCCTGTAACTGCTGCAACTGCTGGTATTTTCTTTGATTTGCTGGTCTCTGCATGGTGGAAGCTATTGCATATGTGGTGATAGCAGAGGTATTGGGTTGGACAATAATTGAAGATGGATGTCATTGGGCGGTGTTATGTGTGATCTGAATTTCTTAAGGCTTGGATATGCAGTGATAGCAGAGATATTGGGTTGGACAATAATTCTGATTCATGTTAGACAATTTTTAATTTTGCTCATTATAATATTGATTTTCCTTTTGCTCATTATAATATTGATTTTCCATGTTGTTATGTCTTCCATTGCTGCTATTACTCATGCTTTCAAAGCTATTGAGCTCAACATTGTTTCTCTCAGTAGTTCTTAATTAAAAATTGTGAAATAAACTTTGTTATAAAAATTCAATGCATGAAAGAATTGGCATCAATTTATTTTATTGCACTTGGAGGAATACTCTTTGTAGATTATACATCGAATTGTTACTCAAAGTGGCATTTTTTGTTGCACAAAGCTAGATCTTTTATTTGAAGGATTTTTATGGGAATGTGGATGTGATCATCTATCCTAGAGATGTGCTTTAGCTTCTTCGGCTCTTTATACCATGTGTTTACTGCTATTTTTTATTTGGGGGTATTTACATGCATACCACACAATTCTTACGCATTTACATATGTAATACCTAAATTCTAATATTTACATGCATGACACTCAAAACTTTAATATTATATGAAGAATACCAATCTCACCTACATTTTACAATTGAAATGCACCTTTTCATGCATATTTTATAAATGTATATTTTAAAAGTGGAATGCACTAGTTTTTATTTGAAATGCACCATATTTTTTACATTTTTATTTTACAAAGTGAATTTTTGCTTCTGTTATATCATATATACAACAGTCATTGTTCTGTTCCAAAAAGTTTAACTAAGCAGGGGCGGAATAATCATTTTTTCCAAAAACAGCTATCACACAGCTGTCTTCACACAGCTGCAATAAACAACCAGACAGTTTCCCCACAGCAGCTTCCCTACTGTAACTTCCTGGGATAGCGCAGCTGCAGCTGCGCCAAACAGAGCCTAAGATTATAATTGTTCACTAAGTTAAACTTACTATTGAATTTAATTGTATATTTCAAGAAAAGACTGAGGGTAGTTAAAACTTTATGATCACTGTCAAGTGCAAGATATACTCAGCAAAGTGTCCAGCCCAAAGTAAATAAAATTTTGCAGTAGGAAGCTAAGGACTCCCTAGATGTCATCATAGATATGTTTTACTCTTTGATAATTTTAACCCAACGCACTTTAATCATCATAGAATTTATGTCAGTTCACATAAAACAATATAAGAATTTAAATATATTAATAAGTCGACTCTAAATGTTCAATGAATAATTTTAATGATAGATATCATATATTTTTGGAGTAGGCCAATATGAATATTATTTGCTTCGAGAGCATCACACTCTTTTACAGCTGATGAACTGGTTAAAGTGATGTGATTGAATACATTTCTATGCCTATGATATTATTGTTTAGAATGTCACCTTTATGGAGTTTAATCGTTCATGTGATCAGGTGAAGCTCATGATTGGTGGAAAGAATTTTGATGCACAACTTATATTATCTTTGGATGAATTTGATGTGATTTTAGGCATGATTTGATGTCTAAAAACTTTCACCGTTGGTACAATAAAAAAACAGTCAGAATAAATATAATTAAGGAGGCAGAAGTTAATTTTTTTATAGAGATGATTGACATCCATGATAATTACTTGTTTGAAAGCTTTTAAATTGTTAAATTATGGAAATCAATTTTTTGCTCAAGTAGTAGATACTTCAATAGAAATACAATTTTTGGATGATATTTCATTGGTAGGAGAATATCCATAAGTCTTCCTTGATTATTTACCTAGGCTATCACCAATGCGAGAAATTGATTGCACTATTGAACTCTTGCGAGATTCTGAGACTGTATTCAAGGTGCCCTACATAATGACATTTTTACAAGAGTTGAAGCCTCAGCTATAGGAATTGCTTGTTAAAGAGTTCATCAGACTAACACTGCACCTTAGAGAGCTCCAGTATTATTTGTGAAGAAGATGGATGGGAGCTTCAAGACGTGCATTGACTACAGAGAGTTAAATAAGCTCACAGTTAAGAACAAATATCCACTATCGAGGATTGATTACTTTATTGATCAGTTGAAAGGGGGCTTTTGTATTTTTAAAAATTGATATAAGACCAGGTTATCAACAGTTGAGGATTATAAAATATGACATAGTGAAGTCGGCTTTTAGGACCGGGCATTATGAATTCGTGGTGATGTCATTAGACTAACAAATGCTTTAGAACTTTTCATGGACCTAATGAAAAAGGTCATCAAGTAGTTTTTAGATACTTTTGTAATCGTATTTAGAGATGATATCCTAATTTATTTGAGTAAAGAAGGTAGTCATAAAGTTCATTTAAATATTATGCTAAAGGTTTTGAAGAAGAATAACTTTATGTCAAACTTTCTAAATGTGAATTTTAGCTTACAAGTCTGGTTTTTCTTAGGCACATTATTGGTGGAGATGGCATATTTGTAGATCAGAATAAGGTCAAGACAATTGCAAATCCTCCAAGACCTGCTATTGTCACTGAGATCAGAAGTATTTTAGGTTTGGTTGGGTATTAGAAGAGATTTGTGGAGGGGTTCTCATAAATTGATATGTCATTATCAAGATTGACTCAGAAGGCAATGAAATTCTATTGGTTAGCTCGTTTTGAGGAGGCTTTTCAAAAGTTGAAGACTTGATTAATGTCTGCTCCAGTTTTGATCATTCCTTCTGGTTCTGATAGGTTTCAAATTTTCAGCAATGCATCTTTTAGGAGTGAGTTGTATAATTATGCAGCATAGAAGGGTTATATATATATATATATATATATGAAAATAACTATCATAAGCATGACTTGGAGCTTACAGCAGTTCTGGTTGCATTTAAGATATGGAGGAATTATTTGTACATTATTAGATACAAAATTATCACTGACCACCAGAGTTTGAAGTATACTTTTACTCAGAGAGAACTGAACCCGAGGCAAAGGGGATGGTTGGATTTCCCCACAGATTAGGATTTAGATACTCAGTACCATCCAGAAAAATCAAATGTGTTGGCTAATACACCTAAAAAATGTGTAATTTTTTATATGTTTTTAATGCTTATATTTGTTGATTTTCAATGATATTACACTTTAAAAGAAGGTATTTTGTATATTTTTGATTTAAGGTACAGAAAATGGAGTTTCAGAGAAAAAGAAGAAAAAACGATGCAATTTAGAGCAAAAACGAGCAAGAAAGAAAATTTTGTCCTGACACATTTCGATATTTTTTCTATTCTTAATTTCTTTTACACTTCTCACATATTTTTAAATGAAATTAAACTTTAAAAAAAGGTTATTTTTATGCTTATTTTGTAGGTCTATCTGCTAGGACAACGCAACTGAAACGGAGTCAAACAGAACTAAAACGAAGCCAAACAAAGCAAAATGGTGGAGCTGCGTAGAGTGGGCGCCGACAGCGCCAGAGCCGGCGCCGGCGGTGCTGAAGAGCAGAAAAACGACAAGAAAACGATGCCGACAGCGACCAAAACGACACCGACGGCGCCAGGGACGGTCATGGATCGATTTTTGGTAGTTTTTTATGTTCTAAAAGGCTCCCAAGTGATTTAAACACCCCATGAAGCAATTCAATGAATCTATACACTTGGATAAGACTCTTAAATGAAGAGACATGTCTTTTGGATGAATAAATTTTTCTCTTAGAAAAAAGGAGGGAATTTGTGTCTCTTTAAAAAGAGGGGTTGACACCTCTCATATGCATGCGTGTGTGTGTGTGAGGGTGTGTGTGAGTGAGAAAATGTGGAGAATGTTTAGCGATCTTAGAATAGAAATAGAAATGTAGATTTCTACTTTTTTTGAGAGATTGGTGAGAGGATTTTTAGAGAATTTGTAAGGGAATGTTCTAGCGCTGCATGGATCGGCGTGAGACTTTGTGGGAGATATTTTCATCTTTCTTTCAAGGGAAAAAACTAAGTATTGTGCTCTTTATTATCTTATGATTTTATAAACACACCACACATAATAATATAGATTTTCATTTCATACAAGATGTTATACTTTCCAAGAAAATTACTAATCCTATGTCTCCAGTTGAGAATAACTAGTGGATATTTTTACCAAGGCACTTGGATATCTACTTGTTGCTCATTTTTGTAACATATAGCAACTCCAAAATATACATACTTTCTCCAACTAAAGGAGAGAGTTTTGAAGTATTTAGTAGGTCTTAAATATAATGGAAAAATATTACAATGGAAGATATCTTCATAATGGTTGATATAATTCTGGTTATTCATTTCTTAAGTGAATTATCATTTATGGCTATTTATTGTCCCTCTTACAAGACAATAAAATACAATGATTTATTTTCCAATAAATACCTCTCAACGCTCATGATACGATATCATCAAGAAAGTGAATCTAAGTTGACCCAATCAATCACATGAATATAATCACACCAAATCAACAAGTGAAGGTTAATAAAGTGAATATTTAAAACAATAAACTAACAAGTACACGTTAAATATGGTTAAGAAAAAAAACTTACATCATTCCTCAAGGAAGTTACGATTGGTTGAATCTTCGTTAATAACATTACCTGAATATTTATTATCGGTACCTATTCCATTTGGTTTACTTGGAATCTGAAAATTTTGACAATTTTGAAAACCAATCAGCAACCTACCATACACATTCAATGTGATTTTGAATTATATAGCTTCCACAGAATGCTCAAATGTTATTCTTAAATAGATGTAGACATGGTAACAATAATGTTTGGGTTTACCTGACATTTGCAATAGCCTTTTCTCAAGTGATATGTAGTTCCATGCCTTGTAAATTCTAGGTTATTATCAGAAGCACTGCAAGAGAAAACAAAAACAAAAACTTGCTAAATCTAGCATTAGCTGTTATCTAGTTAGTCCACTTGAAATTCAATGAAAAAAGTATTGTTCAATTGTTAATTTTAGGCATTTGAACCGTTTAGCAAAGCAAGGGTGCAAAACCCAGCTTGTAGAAAAAATTGGCATTGCTTTAAATCTCAAGAGAAAAGGGGAACTGACCCTGTCGATGGAAAGTAATGGTATAATTATTAAGGCTAAAAACTGAAAATAAATGTCTTAAATTATGATATCTTCACATTGATGTGCTGAAGCTAGCAAAGGGGTTGCATTTCTCAATCTTGGGAGAGATTAAGAAAAGGGCTTATAACAAGTTCAGGAATAAAATCGAAGCTATAGCCAATGGTTATTTCCTAAAAATTCTGGATTGAAATGAGATTCAGGGGGGTGCCAATTTTACAAGCCATTGCACCTAGCTGCTTCCAGTTCTATAAGCCTTATGGACTCCCGAATGACGACTCGGAGAATCCAGTAAACAGAAAATAGCAAGACATCATATTTCCCGCTACAAAGGCGTTCATTCAATAAAAGAGACAAGAACCAAGATAACTTACCATACCATAATTGCTTAATCACAAATTATAAGAATGATCTTATATAGCTATGAGATTTGAATTCCCTAGATAACCTTAGTAAAATGAAACTCAATCCAATCACTACAACTTCAACATTCAAAATTTTCAAGAGAAAAAGTAAAACCCAAGCGACCAATTCATAATGTCAGGATGAAAATACTAGAAAGATTAAAAGACGGAAGACACAATTCACCTTGCAAACCCACCTTTTGGAGCGATAGTGACGCATAGAACAAGCTGAAGTCATCATACAACCAGGAAACACACTTTCCTTGCCTCTCAGACCCACACTATCCACGAACTCAACAGGCCAAAAAACAAAAACCCTCAACTTAACAATTCATCAAGATCAACAATCAGGGTCGAACTACTCCCATTAAATTGAACGAAGTGACTAGGTTTAGAGTTCCTCTCATGGTAAATAAACAGTGTCGGGAGATCTTGTTAGCAGGGCATCGACTGAAACTTATTTTGAAGAAGCAAGCATAGCAAGGGTTTAAGACTCTATTTGCCGTAGCTGCAGCTGCTCTACACCAAGAAGCTGCTGCTGCAGGGAAGCTGACTGTTTGTTTGGTGCCGCTGTGTGAAAACAGCTTTGGGGCAGCTGTTTCTGGAAAATTACTCTGCTGCCCTTATTTGATAAAACTGTTTAAAACAGTATTGTGATGACAATATTTTTTATACTTCCGAAACAGAATTTACTTCAAAACATAACAAAAGTGCAAATACACCACTCACATAGCGGTGAGTACCAAAAGTGCTAAGAAAAAGAAAAATAATAATAATAAAATTACAAATAAAGTAATAATGAGATTTCTTGCCAACCAGTCCAAACCATCATATAGGTCATCGCCTTTAAGAGCACAGGTGCCTTGAATATGCCATATTTTGTTCTTAAGGTCATAAAGACCAAGCCCCTTGCAGACCTCAATTGGAGTCATGGCTCCTTTCTGAAGAGAATAAAAATGAGAGTTTTTAGAATATGGTTTAAAAAATCAGTTATAATCAATCAACCCATCCATCCTTGAATGAGAAGATGCCATCTTCCGTCAGCTATAGATAATTGCTGGATTTTTGTTTCTTCAGCGAATGAAGCAATTAGTAATGGAAATTTTAAATACATACCACATAATTCCTATGTACTCAGCTATCTAGATACATATGCATAACAAGATGTATTTCACTTATAAAAATATAATAATAGTAGTATTTTTTATGTAATATTAAAGAGTTGAGTGTTATGTATTAAATCATGAAAGTTTAGGTTTCAGTATGTAAATAAATAAAATTTATGCAATATGTATTATTTACCATCAAGAAACTGATTTAATCAGACACTTCAATAGGTTATGGTAGCATTATAAGGATATTGCAAATAGGGGAAAGAAGATCAAATATTTCTCAAAATGAAAACTTTTTTTCTCCAAAGCCAGTTATAAAGCCAGTTAGCATTCAACTTAAAACAGATCAGTCAAAAAATAAAAAATAAAAACAACACTTAGTTGAAGTATTAAATAGGTGTTATGGCATTGAAGGAAAGGATCAGCATAACTTACCATGTCCTGCTTGTTAGAAAATACTAGTATGACGTGATTGAGCATGAAGGGATCAGCATAAACATGTAATCTCAATCTGTTATTTTGACCCCCAATTAATGAACTAAGGTAAAAGGGCAATTTTGTAATGTGGCACCGCCACCTACCACATCTCACCTACCGCTCAC